ACTTAAAAAAAATAATTAAAAAACTATAATTATATTTTATTATTAAAATAATATAAATTTTTAAATATATAAATATATTAAATAATAAAAAAATAAATAAATTAATTAAAAAAGGTTTAAAATTTTTAAATATATAAATAGCTATATTATAATTATTTATATTAAAAAATAAATAAAAAAAAATAAAAATTAATATTAAAAATTTATTAAAATAATAATTTTTTATTATATTATAAATATTAATAATTTAATATTTTTATAATATTACTTAAGCTTTATTTTTTATATTTTATTTTTTATAAACTTTTAATTAAAAAATTTAAATATAATAATTTTATAAAATATTATAAAAAGTTTAATTATAATATAAAATTTATTTATAAATATAATAAACTTAAAACTTAAGGATATTTTATAAAATATTAAATAATTATATTTTTTTTTTTTAATATTTTAAAAAAAAACTTTTTATTTAAAGCTATATATTTTATATATTTTTTAAATTATAAAAGCTATAAAAAGTTTTAAAAACTAATAAAGGAAATAAGCTTATATAGCCCCCCTTTTATAAATATAAACTAATATTTTCCTTTTTATTTTTTTTATTAAATTAAAACGTAGTAAATATAAGGTCTAAATAACTGCAGCTTCTATTATCTTAGTGCCTAAATAAGGACTTATGTAATTAGTTTATTTAGTGGACGTTAATAATAAAATAAATAAATAAACTTATATGCTGAAGTAGTATCCACCAGAAAATGATACGAGGGTTTCCATATACTGATTGCGTGTAGTGTTCCGTTGTTGCAATGTGACTTGAGCGGTATGAAAGATTCTATTTCAAGAGTGGCTCTGTAGATTGTGATGTTCAAGCATCCCTGTATGATTTGTCGTCACAGGAACTATCGATCAGTTTTATGGTCTAATTCATAATTAAACATCAATCCACCACTTTTCGACTGGACAATTGTCGGTGAGTTAAGTTGTGATTCCACAGTTAGTCACCTATACTCCGCGGGATATGTTAAACTCCATTGATATATCGCCTGCACACACGAAATTACGCGCGCGGTTGCTTTATAATGACTAATAGGTCTAGGTGGCTTAGATTTTTTTCTTGTCTACGAATCAAAATTCAGTATCAAAAGTGGTCTACAAGTTATAATAGTAGTTATAATCACTATATTATTGCTGTCCTTCTTTCATCTCTCTTCTCCGTTCATCTCCCTTCTCCGTTCCTCCTCGTAACCATAAAGTCTATTTGTATCACGGAAAAAGACACAGGAGTCGACCACGATAGCGTGTCGAGTACCAGAATCTTCACATCCGTGTAGTTAAACTATGGTCCATGTCCTCGCAAAAGGTTCAGATTCCTCCATGTGTGAGCTCATGGGAGAATCGACTCACGAAATTCCTTCCAGGGTTCTTTGGATTCCGTGCCTGGTTTGCCAGGCGTCGTCTTGTGCATGAGGGCGGCCATGTGGCAGTCGAGAAGTGACGCGGTTGTAGTGGTTCCCAAAGAATGGAACGTGAAGTTTTTCTTGTCCGTATCCCTTGCGTTCCAGGTCAAGCTGAAGTCAAAGCGGGCGTAGATGCGCCATTTATCACCCACTTTCTTCACCAGGTAGTCTGAGAAATAGGCGCGGGAGATTCCCTCGCCGGTACCCAGCGCGTCCTTCATCACTACCAAGCCGTTCGGGACAACTTCGTACATGGATTTCTCTACATTTGTCGGGATTTTGCCGGCCAAGACAGCCGGAGCGTCCAGAATAGCGGTCAAATTATGGGCATCAGAGATGGCGTATTCGTACCCCTCGCGGAAGAAAGGTTTGGGGAAAGGGAGAATAGAAGCGTCTACCTTCCAGCAGGTATTCCAGTTAGACGGCTCTGAGCCGGGCGCGAAGGCGTAGTCTGTGATCTCCTCCACTGAGTTTACCAATTGATAGGAGGTCGTGTTTATCTTTATAACTAGGTTGCCCGTTATGGCAGCACCATCAACAACGAGCTGCCGGGTAATGAACTGGAGCCACTCGAACTCCTTGTAATCTGGATCGTGCTTGAGAATCAGGGCGAAGCCACCATACGTCTTGGCGGCCTGTTTCAGCTTGCTCACCAGGGTGGCAGTCCCAGTGCCGTCGATGTCCGTTAGTCGGGCATTAACTGCATTTTCCGTAGGAAGGGGAACAGTAACTTCCTGGATAGCTAGCTCCGCAAGCTTGTTGCCCCATTCTGCTGTGATATTTTCAGGCATGGTTGTTTCTCGTCGAAATGGCACCGTTTGAAGGCAGGATTTAGTGAAGAAGAAGCACAGTCAACCAGGCTGTTGAATAATGATGACTCAAAAACTGTTTGTCCTGGCTTTGGGCAGAGGACACTAAATTCGTGGATTGAGGGAGAATGGGATCCTTATTTATAAACCATTCAAGTGCAAGGTAAACAAGTGTTCGGCAGTACATTTTCACGACCCCAGTACTCATATCCTGTCCCTGACCCATGTTGGCTATGATTTATATCGGCGAGGCCGGTCCATAGCTCCCCCGCTTTTAGCCGCAACCCATTGCGCCGTCAAAATGTTTGATAGTTCTAGTGCCAAGTCAAGCTGAGGCCAGTACAGCCTTGCCAATGGCTGACGTCAGCTGAGTAAAGTTTCATTTGGATCTTTCAGCTGCTTTGTGTAGAGGCTGGTAGTGGGAAAAGTAGTGTTATATAGTCACAAGGCATGCTTCCCAGGTCCACTAGACCAGTCTCGACTACAGCTATGACCTCATGTTAATTAATGAAAACAGTTGAGGCTGCCTCAAATGGAACAACATATGCCGTTATTTGCAAAAATGAATACTACATTACAGTTGTGTATAGAATGCTTTCCAAATTCAATACCCAGCCTTTAGATGAGTTACTTAAAACAGCTACCTGGCTCTTAGTTAAGTTACTTAAGTAAGCACACCAGCGTTTAGATAAGTTACCTGTTTCAATCCGCTTAATTGGAACAGTAATCAATCCCTTCTGGCTTGACAAAACTCAGTACCAAGTGGACACTGTAATCCGTTGAATTACACGCTTTTGTCCGTGAGCCTTTTACTCTATATACTTGAGCATAGACTAACAATGGAATCTGGGCCGATTATCCTGCCCGCCCCTGGCACCAAAAAGCATATAACAAGCATTGGATGCTCGTTCAAGACTCTTGTGCTTTGTCAGGGCCGGGGCCGCGGCATAGGAGCACCTACCACATAGCTCAGTCGCAGTCTAAGGGCCACATAGTCCTTAGTCAAGAACCACCGCGTATAAAAAGGTGTGAACCGTAGAAGAAAATTACAAAGGATGCAGGTAAATACAGTCACTCACTGCTACCGACTTGCGTACCACCTAGCGACAGTATCCTTATCCCTCTTCACTCTTCTCACATACATCCAGGCTTCTGACATGCACAATATTTGACACTTATCCCCTGCAGAAAGTCACTATAACTATTGAACAGAGAGATGTTCTTATTGAACTTCTGTCGAAATAACAAAGCCATTTCTTCTATTGTAACACTTTATGTACATTAGTGAATATCTTTTTCAAATATGAACCTGTCACTTGATCGTTTAAAAGCATTGAGTAGAGGTGTCCAGAGAGGTTTCATAGTACGGTATTCAGAAAATTTATGCTTTCTTAAAATAGTTATCCCCTTGCCTACGCAATCTTGTGGAATTTAAGCAAACTGGCGAAGAGATAGCAAAACGAGATAGTATAAAACGTGATCTGATATCACTTCATAACTTAGTGATCGGTCCAGTTAACTGTCAATTGTCCTTCAGCAACATTGTTGTCCTTGAACGGAATACTGCCGCACTGGCCGCAGCCGTGGGCGGACAGCCCCTGTAGCATACCGAGGGCTTCTCCAGCTGTAATCGAATTGCTAATGCCCTGAGTGAATGCACAGATATTGCCCCCGGGTATGCCGCAACAGGCAATGTGCTGCCCAGGGCTGTATGATGTGCTTGGGTCTTGCTGGCTGACTTGCAAGATCAGATCAGCGAGTCTGCATTCTGGAGTCCCGACGCAGTTGGCGTTTCCACGACAATTAATGCCGAGTGCTGCTGCGGTAGTATACAATAAAGGGAGGACGGCGAAGAATTGCATTCTAGACACATTGTTACAACATAATTCTAGTAGTATTTCAACCTGTGAATCTTACTTGGGAATTTCAAAGAGAAACCTTTCAAGTTCAAATTGTTCTTTTTTCGGCCGTTGACAGAGGTAGCTGGTAAGAGCTGTAGAGATCTGAAGTGATACTTGGGTTATGTTGATTAACTTCAATTGAACGTAGCGGCCCTAGCCCATCTTTATAGATTTTGAAAAGTTACATTAATTGTGCTTACTGAGTTTGCGAGAACCAAACTTGTTTACTTGACTCCCAGCTGTATTGTGCCTCCTTGGCTCTCAGCATCATTGCCCCCTTTGTGTGGAGGTATGATAGGCGACGATGCAGATCAAAGTAAGCATAGCAAATACGAATTAGGAAATCTACTCTTCGAGTGCTCCACATTATTGTCTTAAAAAGCAAGATCGCCATAGATCCTCCACTGCGGTCGCTATATTTATGGTGCCTCTAGCGCCAAAGAACAATTTTGATTGGTAGTTGTAGTTTTTTAGTAGAGTAGTGGTCCTGATCTGCATTAATTTCAAACATAGCTGCAAATATGTAAGATGTGAGGCATGATCTGCAACGAGTGCAAGTAGGGTGTTTTATAGTACAATGTATGATGTACAGTCGAGTTCTCTTACTATTGATTTAAGCATTAATACCACTTTTGCAATGGAATTATACATGATTTCTAATAGCCAAAGTGAAGTTGTTATATGACTGTAATATATGACATATATTAGCATCTAACGGGTGAGTAAGTCGCACGAAACTAGTAATGTAGATCATTATACAGTGAAACAGCTGTGTATGCATCCTTTTTACTCAATTAACTTCTAGTGACGCAATCTGACTGAATGGTAGACATATCAAGCAGGTCGTAAGTTCTAGGATCGTAGGTGCGGGCATGATCTACGTTAATATTCCCTTACTGCATATAAAAATCTTGTGGAGGATCGTCGTATTGTCAGACTTTGCTCCATTTTTGATCGGCGGAATCTCTTTCATGATGTAATCTGACAACTCTTTGGTTGAAAGATTTCTACTTATTATGAGTTATTATTATTTTTAATTTTAGAAACTCTTAGACTCAAAAGGATAGTCATCTAAGCTTAGGTACTTAGAATGGCTAGGTTAATGAAATGAGTTTTGAAGTCGTCTTCGTTGGGATGCAACTTGGCACATTATCTTTCTCCACTCAACTGTATAAAAGAGGGCTCCTTTCCTTTCAAAATAAAAAGAAGAAGCAGTACACTAATCAGCAATATAGTATGTCATTCACACAATAAATGCAATCTTCCAAGACCTTTATCATACATAGTTTACAGACAGAGTTACAATACAGGTAAGTGACAAGGGTGTATGAAGCTACGTGTTTACTAACAGCGGACCAATATTAGGTATAATAATCATGGCATCGATTATTTTCCACCCACAGGGTTGTTCCTCTGGAAATGGTCTTGTGACACTTGTTTCACCTGGATCAGCGGGTACCGGTACATGCTTTTTCAACGATGGTGCATTTGCAAATTCCAATCCATCTGGAGGATACGAGGTACGCATATTGCCATACCAGAGCTGCTTAGGACACATTTTGTCGGCCTCTGATTTTTCACAATTCTAAGAGTTTATAATACTCACGTGCGTGGATTAGATCCAAGGGATGCCATCCACAGTCTCGGTTACTATATCACAAGGTCCACCTGATGGAACAACTTGCGGCGAAGAACTCATTGCTCTGGAACACCAAAATGGATGCTATGACTTCCCAAATCTTTCCAATCGAATTTGGTGGGCATTTTGCAACACGGGAAAAGATTGTCCTGGAGTAACTCAGAGGCGCTCTTACCCGCCACCAAGCTTGTCCAAGAATGCAGTCGCTGCCAACAAAGAGATCAAAAGGATTGTTGATGTTCAGAAGAAAGATACAAGAAGTCTGGGCGTAGTCTACAAAGACGACGAGGGCGATTACCTCCTAAGTTCTACCGGCCGACGTATCCAAGTTGTGTATCGCAACGAGACATTGGATTTGGAATTGGATAGTTCCCCAATCGAGAAGCGACAAAGCCAGACATTCAGCCCTCCTAGCAACTGCATGCTGGACTCCAACACATGCCAATCTCTGGCTGATTCTGGTCAGCTGAGGGCTCTTTGCCTGGACTGCGAGCAGGGCTTAGGAAATGGAGTTAAAGCGTCAGGATCATCAACGATTGACTGCCGGAACTCTGGTGGGCCATGCCCAGTTACATTCACTGATTCTGTGACTGTAACTGACACCATTTCCGAAAGCATCACTTTTGGAGCCACTATTGGTGACACAGGCAAGGATGGTGCCAATGGAAATGCAAACTTTAACTTTGGATTGAGCGTTTCTATTGCTACTACGCACGGTACATCCGAGGGTCTATTGATTCCCCAAGGTAAAATTGGCTTTGTCCAATTTCAGCCCCAGGCCCAGTTAGGCACGGTTGTTACGACAAGCTCCCAAGGAAACGTTTGCGACAGCGCAGGGCTTAACAAGATCTGTGGAGCTCAGCCGGGTATACTTGTTAGCAGCTCGAACGATGCTGATGGCCAGTACAGCGTAGTTCTAAGCAGCTAAGTGTCGCGACCCAACTCTTACAGTCGCAACAATAGGCCTACAGGATAAAATAATTACAGATAAATAGTAGACTGATTATTTGACTGATTATTTACTTTATATCTCCTCAATCAGTACTAAGTACAATTAAGTATAGCGAAGTTGACAGATATAATCGAGTTAGTGTAGAAGCTAACTTATATCCAAAACCCTCCAACAAAGTTATTCTTAGATAGCCTAAGACAGGTCTCATCAGCCTACTAATAAAGCCCTGTGTAAGCGACGTAAGTTATGGGAAATTTGCTATTATAAAGCCATTCTTAATATTACACATTCTCCCTGATACTATAGTCACAATTATCAGAACCTATCCCTCCTGCGCTTCGATCCCAGCCTCCTTAGCCAAGGTGTGGGATGATGAGAAACAACAATGCGTCGTAAGGACCACCTGATAGTTGAACAACTCTTAAAGGATTTTGCCGCAAAGATGCCAGAGGTCGAGTTCAAACCGCCGATGTATTTTCTATGCATACTTGCTTTCAAGATCAGTTGGTTGGGTTGTCAGGGCTAGGGTTTGTGAAGCTTGAAAGCGGTTCGCTAGTCAAGGCCTCGCAAATAAGAGTCATTCAGCATTGGAGGAAGCGAACAAACATGGCTCACCATTCACGCTGCTTCCTTACCGGTTCAATAGCTAAAAGGATGCTTCTATGCCTGGTTATAAGAGGCCTTGGCCCAACTTTAGTGTGGACAAGTTACGTAAGTCCGGAGTAGAATGGAGGGGTGAAGTCCGAGGTTAGTACAGAACTGGACTAGAGGGGAAGTGATGGTGCTATGGATTTTCGGAAGCGGAGGGGAGAAATTCCGGTTAATGTACTTAGGCGGCAGCTTTCTTTAGGATTGACTGCTGACTTTGTCTTGTGCAGTAGCGCAAGCAATGGACGAATGAGTGGAGGATTTCGTCTTTAGTCAGATGATGGGACATCTCTCTTATCCGGAGGCAGCCTATGAAGGGATGAAGGGCTTAGAGCGGAGCGGGGTAAATAGTTATTGCGTCAGGGTTGGACGCTTTGGCGGTGAACACGCATTCAACTGCGAGGGGGCAGTTTAATTAGAAAGAGTGTTTGTTGTAGAACACTTCTTCTTTTTTTCTTTCTTGATCTTTTTTCGAGAGCTGTGCGATTTGATAGTACGCTACGAAGGTATGCATTTCCACTCTTTGATTGAGTGGACTTTTTTCTATGCCCTTGGTTTTCAGCTTTGCGTTATTTTTTAAAGTATTGCTGCGCGGGCTGTACTAAAATACTCAGGGGGCTATAACTAACTAAATTTAATTAAGCTTTAAGGCTGCCAGGCCCACCTACTAAAACACAGTATAGGCTAATAATATTTAAAAATTATATATAAACAACCTCTATAATATAACTTTATAAAAATATTATAATATTTAATATTATTATAGATAAAATTAAATGCCTTATTCCTTTACCGCTACTGCTACAGGAGTTTAATTTTTTTAAAAATTTATATAGCTTTTTATAAAGCTTTTATTATAATAATAGCACTGCTTTAGTAAAAAAAAATGCAGGTAATTATATTAAAGTTAACAGCAGGAGGATTTTAATGTACTACAGCTTTATATATAACTGCAGAGCTTTACGACTACCTTATAATAAAAGAGTTAGAAAAACTACAATAAGTAAAATTAACTGTAAATTTAAGCTTATAGCTTTAGTAATTAAAAAATTAAATTAAAAGTAGATATTTTTTATTAACGAAAGTTAGTATAATTATAATACTTTTTTAGATCCTTCTATATATATAATCTATTACCGCTGGATTAAAGAATAATAAAAAGCTAAGAAATTACTATTTTAATATAGGGCCTTTACTACCTGTAAAATAAAAAAGATTATATAATTATAAAATTAAGCTCTTTTTTTCTTTTAGTTTAAAGATATTTATAATAATTAACAGATAATTAAACTGTTAAAGCTAAAAAGTCTTACGCTTACCTAACAGTAAGTAAATCTTCTTTAATAATAAAGACTTTATTATTATATTAATTATAATAAAAATAATAAAATTACAGTAGTGTTTTAAATATACTTTTAATATAAGGAGATATAAAAATACTTTTTTAAAATCCTTAGACTTAATAATATATATAAAACTAACTGCTTTAAAATATACCTTTTTTAAATTACTGGCGTTATTAATTAACAATCGGTTGTAAATTTTACATTTAGCCTTATTAATATAAAGCACTAGGAAGGTTATAATTAATTTTATAATTAACTAAGTGAATTTTAAAAGCAGCTTTAGATTCTTAAACCTAGTATTATTATTATTAATAAGGAAATAATATTAAAAAATTTACTAAAATATATATTTTTAAATATATAACAGTAATTTTGTATTTTCTATATCTATATAAATATTAATATAAAAATCGTCTTTCGTTAAAAGGATCCTAAAGATAGCGAGGCTAAGAGCAATAAAGCTGCTTCCCCAGTCCTTAATCTTTATACTAATAAGTTTATTAAGTTTAATGTTAATAAACTTATATAATTTAACCTATTAATAGTACGGCCTGCCTTTAAACTGCCTTTTAAAAATAGTAAAGTTAACTTTTAATATATTTAGTAATCAGTCTATTATATAAAAGAAAAAAAAAACTTTAAGAAAGCTTAGGTAACTTTAATTTCCTTTTTCGTTAATTAATAGGTAATCTTTAACTATTTTATTTTTAAGTATTTTCTTTAAGTAAATTAATTTCTTTAATACTGTATTAAATACTATAGAAACTTTAGTTAATATATAAATAATTTAACTAAGACTGTATATAAGGATATTAAAATATATCTTTTTACCAGTATAAATAATCTACTATATTTTTATAAAGTGTTTATTTAAATAATAATAAAAAAGAAATAAAATTACATTTAGGAAGCTGTTAGGTAGAAAGTTAAAATACAGTAATACTATATTAGCTAAGTTTAGCTAAGATCTTTACTAATATATATTAACTACACTACCGTTAAGCTTCTTACCCAGCAGTATAACTGGCTTAAGGCCTTAATTAAAGAAAAAAACTGTGACGAACCGGATCCTATAAGTTAGTATAGGTTAGCTGTTCCTAAAGGATAAACCTCTAGGTTCTAGGTTTATGTTAGCGGAGCGGTTAGGTCGGCTATAAGCGTTGTCTTATTAATGTCATATAGCTAGTAAATATAGTAGCTAAATTCAATCTAATTGCTATATTAATAACTAACTATCTAAGCTATCTAAATAAATAATATAAATGTAAACTTATATACTCAGTTAATCCTAGGCTTATAGGGCTCGTCGGACGAACTGCTAAAGTCGTAGCTTATTTAGCTTATCTATAAAGTTATATAAATCAGCTCCTATTGGCTAGTCAGCCTATTGTTAATCCAATTCCGCTTACCCTATAGGCCTATTATTGCAATTATAAAAGTTAGGTCATAATATAATATCCCTCTCCTATTAGTCTTATCCTTAAGACCTTACTTAATTTAGTATAAGTAGCCCACTTTCGTATCCTATAAGTTCTTATTCTGTTTTCCTTTCTTTATTATTTTTACTTAAATATCTTACTGTAAATATATTTATTAAATCTAAAAGACATAGAATTAATAAACGTAAATAGTATAGCAATCTTTACTTATTTATTTTATCTTACTTAGTTAAAATAAATAAATATTTTTCTTATAAATCTTCTAGGGCAGAGTATTTTTTTACGGAGGGGGAGTCCTCTTATTATTTTACCTATATAATTAGTTAGAAGTCTTTTTATAATATAAAATAACTTTTACCTACGTAATTTCGCAAGGTTATATCTTAATATATTAAACTAAAGGCTGAGATTAAAGCAGCTGAAGAAGAATATAAGCGTAAGCTTAAGCGTCTTCATTAATCTAGTGTAAAAGTTAAGTGTCTTTATAAGGAGAAAAAATTATAGTACTAAAAGATAATATATACAGTAGCGCAAGGTATTAATAATTTAGAGGAATTAAATAAGGTTAAATGCAAGAAAGCGGAGGCCTTTAATCAGGCTGCAACATTATTACCTAATTTAAATGTTCCTATTCTATCTATTCCCATTTTATCCATTTCTATCACCAGTAATCTATTTTTTTTTTCTATTAACCTATTTTTAAAGGGGGTAGACCCTTTTTTATTAGCTTTTCTTAACTTAGTTTTTAATGGAACTCCTTAATTTTATCCTCTAAGTTTTTTAAATTTTTAATAGGTTCCTATATATTTTCTGTATTAAGGTAGTTTTTTTATTTTACTAAATATTTAGGTTGTTTTATTTTCTTATTATACTTTAATATTATTATTTTTTCTACATTATATTTAAGTTCTTCTCCCTTAATAACGATTTCGTCTTATATAACTTCTTCTGTTTTTTCATCTATTATTACTTTTTCTAATAGCAAAATATAGAAAATCAAGTAAATTATTTTTCTTCGTTTCCCTTCTTATACTAGGAAATTAAGTTCATAATTAACTATATTAATTTTCTTTAAAATTTTATATAGTTTAAGTTTCTTAAAATTAAGCTTATTGTTTAGCCGATTTATTTTAATGTTTACTATATCTTTATTTCTGAAGTATTAAAGTAAATAAACTATATCTCCCTCCTAAAGGGTTAATTTTTTAATCTTTTATACATCAGCGAACTTATTTATTCTTTTTTATATAAATTTAAGCTGTATTTATAGTTTATTATATAATTTTTTAATATTATTAGCTAAAATAATAGCTTTTTATATATTTTCTCCTTTTTTTAATAGTCTATAAACGTTTAATTTAAACCTATAGTTTACGTAAAATAGTAAATATTTTATTAATTTTACTAATATATTATTATAGGAGATTTATATAATAGGTAAAAGTTTAACTTAGTTATTTTAGTTAAAGTTAATATAACTTTTTAAATATATTTTAATAATTTAGTTAATTTTTTCTATTTATTTATTTATTTGTAGATAATA